ATACAGAGAAGAGCAACAAGAATGATTAAAGGTCTTGAGAACATGACCTATGAAGGAAGGCTGAAAGAATTGGGTTTGTTTAGTTTGGAAAAGAGAAGACTGAGAGGGGACATGATAGCAATTTTCAGGTATCTAAAAGGGTGTCATGAGGAGGAGGGAGAAAACTTGTTTACCTTAGCCTCTAAGGATAGAACAAGAAGCATTGGGCTTAAACTGCAGCAAGGGAGGTTTAGGTTGGACATTAGGAAAAAGTTCCTAACTGTCAGGGTGGTTAAACACTGGAATAAATTGCCTAGGGAGGTTGTGGAATCTCCATCTCGGGAGATATTTAAGAGTAGGTTAGATAAATGTCAATCAGGGATGGTCTAGACAGTATTTGGTCCTGCCATGCGGGCAGGGAACTGGACTCGATGACCTCTCGAAGTCCCTTCCAGTCCTAGAATCTATGAATCTATGAAGACAGAATTATTATGCAGCCCTATGCTCTGGGTGTCCCTAAGCCTCTGACTGCCAGATACTGGGACTGGGCAACAGGGGATAGATCACTTGATAATTGCCCTATTCTGTTCATTGGCCACTGTTGGAAGATAGGCTACTGGGCTAGATGGACCATTGGTCTGACCCTGTATGGCCATTCTTATTAATTTCCTTATGGATTTTTCTGTGGTGCTCCTCACTATAGTATCTGAATGCTTCACAAATAGTACTTAATTTTCACAACATCCCTGTGAGATGAGGGGACATTATTATCCCCGTTTTACAGATGGGGAATTGAGGCACAGAGACAGTAAGGTAAAAAATGTCCAATAATTGTGGGTGCCTAATAGGAGACAGCCTGTGGCTTGATTTTTCAGAGTACTTAATATTTTATTGCACTTTATATGTTTAAAGCACATCTTCCATTGACTTCAGTTGCAGCTGTGAGTGCTCAGTCCCAGGATCTAAAGTTGGCACCCAGAAAATGAGGAATCACAGTTGCCATCTGTGAAAAGTTTGGTTTAAGTGACTTGCCGAGCATCACATAAGAAATCTATGACAGACAGGGCCGGCTCTGGCTTTTTTGCCGCCCCAGGCGAAAAAGCCGCTGGCCGCCCGCCCCCCTGGCGGCCGGGGGGAGGCGGCCGGAGCCCTGGGAGGAGGGCGGTGAGCCCCGGCGGGGGCTCCGCTCTCCCCCCGGTGGCCAGAGTGCAGGGGGCAGGGCGGCGAGAGGGTGGCGAGCCCCAGCCAGGGCTCGCCGCTCTACCCCCGGCGGCCGGGGGGGGAGGCGCCGGGGGGAGGGCGGCCAGAGCGCCGGGGGGAGGCGGCGAGCCCGGCCGTGGCCCGCTCTCCCCGGGGCCAGAGCGCCGCGCCGCCCCCCTCCAGGTGCCGCCCCAAGCACAAGCTTGGTGGGCTGGTGCCTGGAGCCAGCCCTGATGACAGAGGTAGGGATAGAATCCATTTCTCCAGGGCACCATTCATCTGCCTTATATATAAGACCATCCTTTCTATTCCTGCAGTCTTCCACTTCATTCACTAGACACCTTCAACGTCTGCAACAAATGAAGCAGGGATCCTACAGACAACAGCCTCCTTCACTGAACAACCCTGATTCATTCCCAAAGCACCATCCATCTTGTGCACTGAATGAGGCGGGGGTTCTGTGGAAAAATAGTACGTGGTCATGGAACTAAGACTGTATCATAATGGGTGGGTCAGTTGTGGTGTAATGTGCAGGTATGAATTGTCTAACTGTGCCAGAATTTTTTGTTATTGAGAAATGCAGCAGAAAGGAGAAGGGAGGGAATGACAACGAAGCTAATCTAAATAGGCTCTTGCTAGGTGAGAGTCACTCAAACCCAAATTTTAGACAGGCTGTTGAACTGAGTGGCCTGTGAGATTCAAGTATCTGGGAATATTCTGTGATGAACAGACTTGCGAGCAGTAAAGGAAATAGAGGCTGTTTGTAAGAGAGAGAGGAGATATGGTAAACATTGATATTGTAATGGATCTTCAGATATATATTGTTCCTTTTCAAAGGAGCCTAAATAGAAATTACTTTGCAGATCTCATTCTTTTATAAATATATCATACTTAATGTAACAAATAAAAAGTCATGTTGCTTTTTTTTAAACAACAGAAGTTCAGAAACGTTTTGGACAACAACAGGAATGTTCCCCCAGGAATTCATTATTAGTTTTCATAAATGTGTAAAAATCAGCAAACTCACAATCCAGTGTTACTTAGGTAAGAACGCAATGTATTTTCATGTTTTAATTTTCACAGTAGTATCGCACTCTGCAGCTAATAGTTTAAAAAATAATCCACAAGAATGTAGCTAAGCCAGCAAACCAGTGATCCTTTGAGGCTAGTATGTTGCATGAACTAATTGGGGAAGCAGGATGTGCTGGAGAAAGACGAACATCTTTCCTAATAGCCCTGGCCTTTGTGCATTATATCGTTATAATATGTTGAGGAGGAGAATTATTTTCCCCGACTTGAGCTAGTGATTGATTTATGCCTTGAAGCATGAGGATAAATTGGCCTGATAGTTTAGTATAACAAAGTTACATTAACTAGGTTAAAATTATTTATCTTATAAATGATGATCTTTAAAAAATAATTTGCTTCAAACAATTCTGTAAATTGTTTCATCAAAAAGTATTTTCTCTTTATCTGTTTTAAATGTGTTGCTTTTTAATTTCATAGTATGAACTTCTATGTCCTTTATGTACATTTTGTCAAATTTCTGTAATCATGTGAGAAAAGATATTATGAAAGAGAAAGTACTGTGAGCCCAGGAACTCAAGCTTTAGCTGATCTTGGCCAAATCACTTAAACTTTCTTCTTCAGTTTCCCCACGTGTAAAATGAGGATGATGATAAGATTACCTACCTACTCAACAGGATACTGTGAAAATTAATTAGCTAATGTTGGTAAAATTCTTTGAAGATGAAAAGTGATGCATGATGTTAAGTACTGTTGTTATTAGTAAAACAGTAATATGAAACTAGACTTCAGTGCTCAGTCTATGCTGATTTCTTTTTAAATATATTTTAGTGCGGAGTTTGAGGATTGAGAAAAGCTTATCTAAAGATCCAGTAGCTTTTGAAGTGTGTATCGAAAAAGGTAAGTAATCAAATGAGAAGCAGCTCTGATTGGGTGGAAATTATGTTGGCCTTTATCTATTTGCTCATTGTCTTAATATCTTTACACCATTAGAAGAATAAAGTTTATAACATTTGTTTGGTATACTGGAAAGGATTGTGATTGGCTGTTTTTATTACTATGGATATAATCCATAAAAAATTAATATTCCATCAATGTTACCAGAGTGACATGCTGGAAATCCACATGAAAATTATATGTGAAAAAACAGTGTGACTTGAAACAGTATAGCAATAGAACTGCCTTGTTAAGAGACAAAATATTTTCCAGAGCACAACAATCTAAATCATGATAATGTTAAATTGGGTACTGCTGTGTGCTCAGTAGGTATTTGAGGATGGGGCAGAGGTTGATCTTTGTTTGAAAACTTTTACTCTTTTGTTAGTTTCTCTCAACCCTGAGTTTTGTAAATTTAGGTTTGTATTTGAATTTTCATTATTTAAATTATCAGGAAACCCTGTTTTGTTTTAAAAAAATAAAAATAAAAAACCATAAACTGTTACACTATGGGCCTAATCCTACAATCACAGATGCATACAAGTACTTTCCTTATGAGAGTGGTCCTACTGATTCCAACAGACTGCTCACAAGAAGTAGAGTTGCTGTGTATATAAATAGGGCCCTACCAAATTCATGGCCATGAAAAACGTGTCACAGACCGTGAAATCTGGTCTCTCCCTGTGAAATGTGGTCTTTTGTGTGCTTTTACCCTATATTATACAGATTATGGGGGAGACCAGCATTTTTCAAATTGGGGGTCTTGACCTAAAAGGGAGTTTTTTTGGGGGGGTGTCGCAATATTGCCACCCTTACTTCTGCACTGCCTTCAGAGCTGGGCAGCTTTAGAGCAGCGTCTGTTGGCCGGATGCCCAGCTCTGAAGGCAGTACCCCGCTAACAGCAGCGCAGAAGTAAGGGTGGCAATACCATACCATGCCACCCTTAATTCTGCCTTCAGAGCTGGGTAGCCAGAGAGTGGCGGCTCTTGACTGAGGCCCCAGATCTGCAAGGAGTAGCGAAGTAAGGGTGGCAATACTATACCATGCCATGCTTACTTCTGTGCTGCTGCTGGCGGCAGCTCCCCCTTCAGAGCGGGGCTCCTGGCAAGCAGCCGCCTCTTTCTAGCTGCCCAGCTCTGAAGGCAGCACCACCGCCAGCAGCAGCGCAGAAGTAAGGATAGCAGTACCGCAACCCCCTTTACAATAACCTTGCAACCCCACCCCCGACAACTCCTTTTTGGGTCAACACCATGAAATTTCAGATTTAAATAGCTGAAATCATGACATTTATGATTTTTAAAATCCTATGACCATGAAATTGACCAAAATGGACCATGAATTTAGTAGGGCCCTATATATAAATGTTTGCAGAATTGGGCTCTGTATTGGCTCCTTTGACATCAAGTGAGAATGGTGGCATAATGAAAACTAGAATAGTAGAAAGTTTAAAATGTTAGAGCTATATTTTATGTTATCACAGTAGTTGTGATATAATTTTTGACATTTACTAAACCCTTATCTAAAAAGACAGAGGCTTTGATCCTGCAAATGTTTTTGCATGTGCTTAACTTTAGCATAAGCCCTAAAGTTAAGTATGTGCATAAGTGTTTGCTTGATCGGAGCCGTTGCCAGTCCACAAATAATACTAAAACACTGAAAGTATGATGATGATGAGCTGTTTAAACTGCATAACCATATGCCACATGTAAGAAAAATGGAAAACATTAAATTATGTGACAAGATTAAATGTTCATTCCTGTGTCTTTGAATTATATTTAGTGTACTGAGGATGTTATGAAGAACTGTGCCAACAATATGGGGTCTTAATCTCAGTTTGTCCTTTTATGTCCTATTCAAACAGGAATAACTTAATTCTAATCTCAGCTGTGTCACTGATTCACTCTGTGACCTGAGGTGGGCCCTTCAATCTCACTCTCTGTATGCCCAGCTATAAAATAGGGCTATTTATTATTTGTAATACTTATAATTCCATAAATGACAATTGTGGGGATTGATTGTTTGTAAAGTACTTTGAAGATAAAAAGCACTATATAAGTGCTAAAAGTACTACTTGTATATTTTATCTTATACTCAAAAATTAAAAGCATATTTGAGTAGTATAATGCAACACAGTTTTTTTTATGTCCCATAGAGACATTTTAAAAACCAGTTTAATTGCTTGTATATTTAAATTGGAACATTACTAAAATTGTTTGTATTCTTTAATCGGCTTGTTAATAATTTTTGCATAAAATGTAGACTCACAATCCTTAACTTCCAGGAACTTTCAAGTCCAGTGGAAACTTATTACAGCATTGTATATATATTAACTCATTGTTTGACATAAAATTTATTTTCTAGATTTACAATACACAGAAGGGGCGCTTCAAACGGAAGAATTTTCTGTGAGTACATTCAGCATTAGTGCCACATGTAGGAGGGGTGGATAGACTAGTTAAAAATGCCTTCAATTAGCGCAACTCAATACGTATTATTTTAGAAGTTTAGATACATCCCTAGGTCTTGGATATGTGCTTATACATTATGGTATAAAAATCCATATAGCTAGAGCTCCTAACTTTGCTAAATATCTATCTGAAGAAGTGTGGTAATCTTTCTTGGCCCAGCTATTGTCTTGAAAGTTTCATGAGTTCCAGGGCTTCAAAGGAAAGAGGGGGGCTATTTTGGATTCCTCTAACCCAAGAAAGCTCTGAAAACTGGCATGTAGAAATGTCTTGATCCTTGTATTATATTTTAAACGTTAAACTTCTTTGCAGAAGCTTGTTGAACATGTATATTATTACAATGAAAATAATAAGCTCCTTTTCTCTTCTACAGCTTCCTGAATTCCAAGCTACCTACTTGCGATTCATCATCAAATCTGCCTTTGATCATTTTGTTTCAGTGCACACAGTGACGGCAGAAGGAGTAGCAGAAAATATTTAAGACCAAATTTAAAGAATTGCCTCAAAAATTATTTGTAATGATATTTGTAGCATAAAGGATATATTTATTATTCAAACATTATATTAAAATGGATTTTTAAAATATGGCTCCAGTATGTCATGTGTGTCGTCCCCCTCCACACCCCCCCCCCCCAGCAATTTAATGTGTAATGCAGTACAACTATTAACTCTGGTAATACATTTGTAGTTTTCCAATGTAGAGTACAAATGTAGAAGAATTGCTTTTTGCTTAACCATTAACATAGGAGTATAATTGATTCCACTTCTGAATTGCAGTATGTTGAAATTAAAAGGCTATTTAAGATACATTGTTTTAAAATGCCATTGAATATTTGTTTCTCTGTAAAATATTTCCCTCACAGAAAAAATAAAAGTCTGAAACAGTCAAACTTGAGGCCATTCCCCCAACCCTAAAATATGACCTTCCAAAATTCATTAGCTTGTGGTACTCCTGATCAGCTGAGAACCCTAGGTAAGAAAACAGGATGATTATAATGTCTATTGAAATATTTAAATACCAAACTGAAGCCACTCGAGATGGTTTAATATATTTTAATTGCTCCTATTTAGCTCATTGCCTCTATAAATATTTTCACAAATCAGGTCACAGCTGCCTGGGCTTTATGCTATGACTGTCATAAACAAATATTAATAGAACCAATGCTGATGTACATTAATACAAATTGTTTCATTCATAAACTTGCTGGAGTGTGTGCAAGTGAACATTTAGAAAAACTGCCAGTAAATAATAGAAACTGCCTCTTTTTTTAAAAAGAGGGATCAGTGTGCAATCATTTGTTTTGTTTGCTAATACCCTACTCCAACATTCATCCAAGCGATTTGTACGGCTTTTAATTACTAATATTTATTTTATAGATTTCAGTTTCAAAAAGTGACTAGTTATAACACGTTGTACCATTGCTGTCTCTGATACTGAACATTATCTGAATCCGTTGCACCAGAATGTATTACTGGTAAGGTTTCACTGATAAGGCCAGGTTTCAAAACTCAAAGGGATTAATCTTGCAGTCCTAAAACAGGCAAAAAACTCCCATTAATCTCAGTGGGAATTTTACATTCATCAGAACTGAAGGATTGGGCACTAAATGATAGCTGCATTCAGTGGAATAAAATATATTTTTCTTTCCACTCACTAGTTCATATTTTAATGACAAGAAATCTTGAGCTAATCGAAGTGTAGTGAATATAGACACAATTTATTTTCTGTTATTTAATATTAAGTTTCATTATATCAGATGCTACCTAAACTATTAAGAATGGGCGTATGAAAGCCATTACACATTTGGAGTAATATCCAGGATTTTTTTTTTAAGAGACAAGTAGTTTCACTATATGAAAAATTTTGGTCCAAGGGTGTATGAACAGGGTAGCGATGAAATCTATAAAAACACTTTTGATTTTTGTACTCCTTTTATTCTCTCTCTTTTTTACTTGTATTTCCTATATGCTAACCTGTAGCTGATGGTTACATCTATGACTCCATATCTGGGCTAGCATTCTTAGAGAGCTTTTCCATTAATTTCAAATGGTGTTGAATCAAGCCATGTTGATGTCTGATTCTTGAATAAGGTATAACTCATGCTATATCCTTGTCTTTTTCTGCTGGGTGAGTATATATTCTTTTAACCTCTGATTTCTATAATTATTTTAAAATAAACAGCAGTAAAAATATATTTTAAAAAAGGTCAGAGTAAGTTGTTCAGGGACCACTTTTTCCAGATAGACCACTTTATTCTTGGGGATTCTGATTTGTTCACCTATTTTAGTTTTTCCAAGATTGCACGTATGTCCTCTGGATTATAATTCCAAGGTCCCACTCCACCCTGTAAAGTAAATAAAATACAGTATTGTTCAGATATACTCTATGGGGGAGTCTCCAGTGGTGCATAGTTGACATGGCCATCTCCTGCCCCACCCACCCAGAGGAGTGACCTGAGTGTGTTGCACTGCAACTCTGCTCAGCTGGTAGATGAACCCTTGGGACCCATTGCCAGCTGTGCACAGGTTAGAGCAGCCTGAACCAGAGCCAGTTAGATAATCAGGGAGCCTTAAGTGGCTGCCTAATGGCCACCCTTTCTCACGCACCAAGCAGAAACAGCACAGGAGAGAGTCTGTCCTAATGTCTTGTGTACAGACTTTTAGCTATATATCAGTATAGTAAATTACACAGTAAAAGAAGGTTTTAACTGCTAGAAAGTTTAATGCTGGAACTTGAAAGATAATCTAAATTAAATAGAAGTTAGACTCTTGTAAAAGGGCATGGTCTCCAGTTACCAGATAATAATTAGCACTTTATATATCTAAATACTATGCAAATATTAACTCAAACTTCAAAACAGCCTTGTGAGATAGGTAAGTAGTATTGTCCTCATTTTACACCTGGGTAGACTTTTATGCAGAGGTTAAGGCCAACCAACAAGTTGGGGAAACAGCTGGAGTTAGAATGTAAGGTTTCTTTGTTTCCAGCCCTGTGCTCAGTATGCTTTCACTTTATCTCTTTAGGAAGGACTACATAAATAGTGAGGCAGAGTCAAGACATACATCAAAAATATACATCAGTGCCAAGACTTTTTTGTTGCTAATCATTATTCAATGAACAATGTGCTTAAAAAGAACAGGAGTACTTGTGGCACCTTAGAGACGAACACATTTATTAGAGCATAAGCTTTCGTGGGCTACTGCATATGCATCCGAAGAAGT